ATTAAATTATAAACAAACAGGCAAACGTTGTAATCTCTCTCCCCGACACGCTCCTTCCAGGGAAATCGCTTAAACTAAGCAAAGAATTCAATTTTAATTTGCATAAAATATTTATCAAGGCTTTACGCAAATTTCTGAGCTGCTCCTCTCGGCTGCCAAGTTGAAAATTACTAAGACATACAGAGGTGCAATATAGAAACATGTGAAAAGCCCATTAGCCAAAGCCCTGATGACCACTTCAGCCAAGCACATATGGACGAGAACAGCTAATAGAAGAGAGCCGGCCAAGGCCATTTTTTTTTCCAACCAGATTGTTTTTCTCATTATGTTTTTATTTCTACCTAAACTGTTAATTAGGCACTTAGAAGATTTTTTATGGAGGGGTAAGTGTAACAAGCTGGTGTGTTTCTCCCGCTCCCTCCTGCGCCAAGGGATGGCCCTGCCTGCAGCGAGGGCTGCCCGCCCGATGGTGGGGTCCCCATGTCCCATGCGATGGGTGCTGCATCCCCGATGGGTATCGAGCAGAGGAATGTGCCGCCAGTGCCGTGGTGCTGCCCACGTGTGATGCTGCTCTGTGCCACGTGCCACTGCACCAAGCAAAACTGATGGCAATGATGCTGCAGCATCCTCCCTCGCCAGGTAGGATCTATGTTTCCCTCCATCCCTGCACCACCACAGCCCTTCTTCACCCTTCACTGGGCAGTGTCTGTGCTGCAGAGGGGTTGGGTAATCCAGTATTTACTGTGTATGTTTCACCCAGTGATCTCCTTGTGAGCACAGGGAGAGGAATTATAATTGGCTTGGAGCAAGGAGATTGATGAGGCTCTGCCTAACCCAGTAATGTTAATGGGGATGTCCTCTGATGTGCTGCCCATTCCACTGACTGGGGACACAGTGTCGCTGCATGCCTGGGCACAGACTGGGATCTCCTGGATGCAGCGGTATCTGTGTCTGCATGTGTCCCAGGAGCTCCCCTCCAAACAGTGACCCTGTCTCAGGGTGAGGAGCCTGCAAACCACCCCATTCCTTCCAGCTGGAATTGGGGCTGAGCACCATAGGGAGCATGGGCACCTTCCCTGCAAGCAGGATGGGAAGTAGATGTGAGAGCCTGCCTGCTGATGGGAAGAATCAGTGCGCTTTAAAGGAGAGTTCATAATGCCAGGTTGCATAAACTCCCCAGTGTATCCCCAAGGAAGTGATTTATGGATTTGAGAGCAGCATATCACCTCAGCTCCGTGTGCATTTGTTCTCTTGGTACCGTTCCTCGTGCTCCTGATCTGCAGAGTAACTTGGGAAAAGCCAGGGAAAGGCACAGAAACTACTAAGATCACTGGTGCAAGAGCCCTCACTGAGGTGGTTTTGATGACAGCAGGTTCCATCAAGATGCTTAAAACCAGGAAACTTTTGACCCTTACAGCAACCTGTGGTACTGGGTACCATCTCACTGGGGAATGCTGAGTGTCCAAGCAGGGCTGTGGAATGGGGGATCCAGCCCTGGGTCACTCTGAAGCAGTGTGTGTGCTCCAAAAACGGGATCTAGGCCACATGAAAGCCTTCTCTTTAAGGGTTTTCTCCTTTGGTTGTTTTGAATCTCTTTTCTTCGTTGCTCTTTTTAAACTTGTTTTTGATTTGTTATTCTCTTTGTGGGCCTCCTTTATTTTTATTCTTCTTTACCAAAAGCGCCTGGATTTTATTCCCATCCCAGCCTTATTAGCATTTTGGTCTTTGATCTCTTTTTAAAAGGATTTACACCACAGTTTTATTATTCCATTTTCCAAAGTGTATTTTTACATAATCTACAGAAATGGCTAAGACAAGAAAACTTTACAGGAAAGAGAGCTGTTCCCTGCAATGCTGCTTAACTGGGGCAGGAGAAGGTGGTGTGGAAAGAACCTGCCCAAAGCACCTTTTGCTCTTCCTAAATGGCTTTGCAGAGCTGCTCCTGGCTCTGCTGCAGCAATGCTGATTCCCAGCAAGGGGCAGAGCCGGGAGTGCAGGGGAAGCATCACCCCAGCACCACAGCATTGATGGTACCCTTCTGAGCATCCTACATCTCAATACCTCTCCCTACAGCATCCTTAATGGCGATCATCCCCTACCACATTGCTCTGAGGACCAGATTTGGACTGGGGCTGCCTGTCCTCCTCCACGAAAGTAGCATACTGCATTCCACACTGTGCAACCTTTAGCATCTCTTTGCTAGGAATCACTTTCTAATGAGCACAACAAAGTGATAACAATTAATGAGGAAGCAAAGCATTTATTTCTGAGCCCTAATTAACATTATCCCAAGCATTCTCTCAATGCTCTTTTGATGTCATAAAGCATGCTGGAACTATAAATGAGCTGTTCTCCCATTAACACTGCCATGCCCCCATCCCCTCCCTCTGTTATCCAGACATTAACCAAACCACTACATTCACGGGAAGTTAAAGGCCGCATCTTTATTCACAACAAAACAAGATAAACAATCTGCAGGTGGATTTTGCTGTAATGTCCCAGCATGGAAAAGCATTAAAATGCTGATGCCACAGCATTCAGATAGGGCATGTGGTGTGGACTCACTTATGGGCTTCTCTGCCAAGTGGTGGGGTTACCTAGCCTCTACAAGCTTGCATGCAGAAGTGTGTCTCCGCTGTCTGATCCCTGCTTTTGAATGGAAAAATAATTCCATCCTCTTCCCAAGCCAAACCATCCTTATGAGGAGGTGAAGCTGCAGGTCTTCTTCCCCACCTCAGAAGCCTGAACCCCACTGGGTTCATGCCATGTGGAAATCCCCCTTCATGTCCAACACAGGCTCTTCAGGCACTGCTATTGCTCCTGCTCCTGGCTGCTCTCCCTCGCATGGAATACTGTGTGATATGTCCTACAGACTACAAAATACACCCCAGGATGCAAACAGGATCCCAATAGCCGCATGGATCCTTCTTTTTTGAGACTTTTTGTTACATTGCCACCAGAACAACATCAGGCTCCGAGGACAAGCCCTGCAGCCTGGATGCAGGAAGGGATGAAGTACAGTATTACACAGCAAAGTGCCTCAGCAGCACCTGAATTAATGTCCCTTCTTTCACGGGTCTGCAATAGTGAAATTGCACGTTCCTCTCAGAATATGATATGGCGACACACAATTTCCTGCCTTACATAATTCAAATCCATATCTGTTCCAGCACAACTTGCATTTGCCCTGCAAAAAAAGAAAACCTGCATGTCCATGCCAGGCTTTTTCACGGAGATCAAGTCACTGCCAAGACCGATTGTGTTCAAATACAGTATCTCCCAAGTATTTATCTGTTTTATGTGACTTATCAGGTGCCAGTGAAACCTCTCTTCTTGACGGGGTAATGCAGGCTTGAAGGCAAAAGAAACCCTCTGGGTTATTCCACATCCGTTACTAATCCACCGAGACGCATCCCATCAATAATAATGCTGGAGAGGAAAGGAGCTGGCTCGACAGCCCCTTCCTCTGCTCACACACGCTCAAGCTGCGGAGCTCCAGGTACTCACAGAGCAGGAGGTGGTGGATAAGACATTGGTCTGGGTGGGAAGAGGTCCACTGGGTACAACACGGGAGCCTGTGCTCAGCAGAAGGGAGCCGACGGGATGGGAAGAGAAGTCAATCCTTGGATCCTGGCTTCTTTTACAAACCAGCCACTAACTGTGCTTCTACATGAGAGCTGCCGCTTCGACTGTTCCCCCGGCGCACCCTAGCAAGGAGCCGCGCTGCAGCAGAGAAGTGCCTTTTCCTCATTATTTGGCTGAAGGAGGGCATAGTATCAGCATTTTAATGTGCCTCTTCCCAGGAGGGAGGCATGGGGCGACCCATACCTACTGCTGTGCAAACCAGCAGCGTCAGGCAGCCGTGCACCCCGGGATCAGCACCATGCCAGCCAGGGGACAATGCAAAGTCTCCAGCCCATGCCAGCATCACCCACGCACCGACACAACCCTGCCTTCCTATGCTAAACCCCAGGGAGCCCTGCATGCTGCTGGCACCCCTAAAACCTCAGCACCAGCAGCACAGAGGTCTTCAGGATTCCAGCATTGAGGAAAACGCATTAATTTTGCAGGGATTGAGCAAGAAGGAGAAAATTGATGATAATGCTCATAAAAGGAGAGCTCGGCTGAGCATGCAAGAGGAGCTGCCCTGTGTCTCTGGACACCTGGAAATTAGGGACACCCCAGAGCTCCCCATGCAAAAGCATCCTGCCCAAACAGTTTGTCATTAACTCCCATTTAAAAAAAGAAGGAAGCTGTGCAAACCATTAGGCAGATAATTGGTCTCTGCTCTGTATTTCAATAAAAGCAAGGGACAAAATACCATGTATGTGAAATAACTACTTTAGGATAACAGCACCCGTCACCTTGACAACTCGGTCAGAGGTCTCGGCGTGGTGGTGCCTGCTCAGTGAGGTGTGAGAAATAGAGGACGCCGGGGACAGGGGGAAGATACTTGTCTGACCAGCGGAGATGTGAGGACCACAACAGGCTGTTAGCTACAGCATTTCTAAACAGAAAGCAGCTTTCACAAGGAAACGTTAGAAAAATAACCCCTGTGGAGCCAGAGGAGCAGTGGTGTGAGCAGTCCCGGCTGAGCTCCGCAGTGCTAGCGCTGGCTTGGCTGTGACATGCGGTCACAGGAGAGTCCAGGGCCTCTGCCCGCAGGAAAGCTGGGTGTTAAACTGCACAGGGTGCCAGCATCTGAAATGGGGGGTGGTTCAGCCCATCCTGGGGCTGCTGGTTCCCCTCTGCTCCCCCATGCATCAAGTGCATGAAGCACCTCTTTTCCCTGCCTGGATACCCCGTGGATGGGCACGTCGCAGGGACACGGCTCCACCAAACATGCTCCCAAACACACCAACATGTAAAACAACATAATACTGCAAACAAAAGGTGACAACATAACATACTAATATGAACAGACGTGAAATCAATGGGAATTTCTATTTAGGTAGGAAATCAATAGGAATTTCAAGGTAGGAAAAAAGGAAATTACTTACCTTTAATTTGAGCTCTCTCCAAGTCTGGTTCTCCATAGATCCGTGGCTGGGGCTCGTGGGGCTCACATGTGGCTGGGGCAACAGGAGGCTGCATGGGCTGATGGTGATGGACCTCTCTGGCTGCACCAGGGCCATGTACAACCCTATCAAGGTCCTTGCCCTATCCCACGCTGGTGGAGATGGGCCCATAGCCCAAACCATCCTGTTGGTCCTTGGCATCTCTGCCTGGTGCACAGCAGAGCTTCACCAGAGCCTGTCAGAGTCAAGCCAGGTAGCTGCAGAGGGTGTTGCACAAACACCTTAGGTGCTATAGGGTTGCAAAGGGGGGGATTGTGCAGTGGCAGCTCTGTGCTTCAATTCCTAGTGTCCTAATCCAGCAGCAACAGCATTTCAGTTCACAAAATAGGCCATTCTTGGGGAGAAAAAGTCAATGTGAGGCACCTGGGATATGGTAGTTCAGCCCGCATCCTGCAAGACAATCATGCAAATGGGCTCACTGTTCCATGCAGAGCCCTTCTGATTTCAGCATGCCTTGGCTGAGGCTCTGAGCTCTGGCTGTGTGGTGCTCTCAGGAAGATGAGGGCCTCAGTTTGAGACACTTTGAATTGAGAGATGCTATGAAAATGAGAGATCATTATTTTGTTAAAGGGAAGCTAGCTGCATCTCAAACTCTGCCTCTTCAGTGGCTGAAAATTAAGACTTCTAGAAGTATTAGTATTCCACAGAGGACCTCGAAATCACCTCCTGATGTGGTTGAAGGTGGAAACAATTTTAAGCCATTGTTTCCAGGAATATTTGCATGCAACAGCAAACCCCAGTGTACCAGCATTTTGCATTTCACTCATTCATGAGTGCTAAAATGGTCTGCTGCATTTTAATTCAAGCATAATAGGAGGGAAGTATGAGCTTTGGTAAAAAGTGGGTGAGACTGCTTTCACCAACTGAAAATAGAGCCTAAAATGCAGATGTATCTCTGGACGTAGGGACAGAAGGCATCATGCCGGAGCTCTCTGACCTTGTGGCTTTGGCTGCCATAAGTTCTTTCATGGCATCAAATATGCATTTCTCTTCCTCCCAGCTCCTGTCAGCCTCCCTGCAGCCGAGAGATGCCTCCCTTGGCAGGGGACCACACCTCAGTCAGGGCAAAGTCCATCTGGCCCTGGGTATTGCTCCTGGGTTGTGTTTCTGCTTTCCTGCAGCCATGAGCTGTTTGAAAAGCACATAAACCCCAAGTATAATGGCATTGATTGGTATAATCAACAAGGGGAGATATTTTCAACAGAATATGAACAAAAAAATGGAAAGGAACCATGTACAAAGGGTTTTCTTGGCAGTTCTCTTGGTCCTCTTGCCAGAGGTCCATATGATGCTCTCTCCAACGATAGAGGTGTTACAGACCTCCTGTGGGGATGGTATCTGGCAAAGGGCTTGAAGAGCAAAGCAGTAGTCAAGTGCAGGTTTGCAGTGCAGCCTGGCAGTTGTCCCAGCTTGGACCTCTGCTAGAATGAAACCCAACAACAAATCAGCTCCACTTGCCGAGGACACTAAATAGAGGTGAGCGTCGAACGAGCTAGCAACAGCAACAACAAAAATCCAAGGGAGTTTATCATCTTTGTAGCAGAAGGGACATATGGTAAATAAAATTTAATGCTGCCAAATGGGGAGAGATGCACAATGACCTAAAAACCATAAAGCAAAGAGCAGCACGAATGGGAGAGAACTGGTGCAAGAGGGAGGTACTGGAGATAAGGAAACAACTGAAACCATTACAAAAGCGTCAAATGCATCCACAGTGCTGGCAGAGCTGCCTGCATTGCTGGTCCAGTGCCACATGGCAACAAGCGTTTATTGTTCCTCTCCCTTTGTCTCTCTCCCATGTATGTATCTCAAGAACTCCATTCCTGACTCCCTTAGGAGTGGGAGATCTGATATGAAATGTCATCTCCTCCATTGTAATGTTGAACAGCTCTCCCTATGAGAGTCCACTGTATGAAGGGCAGGACTTTCCCCAGATTTCATTGCCCGGTTTTAGTCTGGACTTCCCAGTCTTCTTTTCTGGCTCCTTAACTCAATCCAGTCTTTAACTCCCTCATGCTTCTGGGCCAGCAGGGCCATGAGCTTTAACTGTGCTAGGTTTCAGAGATAGGCATGAGGCTTATGGACTTCTTTCACCTTTAATGAATAACACCTCCTTTTTCCCACCTTGGAAACTGCAGCCACCTTCACATTTCCCTGCAACACCATGCTTGTGCCTAATTAAGCTCTATTAATACTAATGAACAGGCTCACCATAGCCCATCACTTTAGTTCTTAATTTAATGCCATGTTGTGACAGTTGTTCAATGATGATTTCAGCCCATGAATCAAATCATTGTGGTTCAGCCCATATGCCCAGCTCCCTTCTCACGTGGAACCAGAGGGAAGCCTAGTCCAGAGAATAGTAAAACTGGTCAAGGAGTTTTTAATTAAATAAAATAATTACATTAATATAAATAATTAAATAAAAAGCTGAATATTATTTTTATATATATATTATTCTCCCTTCAGTCCCAAAGATTTCATGGAAACAGAAACGTCTTCTTTTCCTGATGTGTTCCGACTGCTTGTCACTCGGTTTTGTAGGCTAATGCATGCTTTTATTCTCTCCATACTGCAGACTACTTTCTGTTTTCCTTGGGTACTGGTTTCCCTGTTGAGATGGGCCATAAAGCATTGTGTCTGGGCTGGATGCCGGACCATAACCTCCTCTTCTGTTCTCTCTTTGATGCTGCTGAATTATTCAGGTGGGAGACTCCACTGAACTCCAAAGGCTCAAATAAGAAACATAAAAGTTAGAAACTGAGGTTTCCAGAAGTACTGGAAGTGAAAAAAGTATTCCAGCTGGGTTGATTTATGTCTAAAATACCTTAATATACTGCTGCACTGATCCATTTGAATTGTGTTGTCATGCTGGTTGGCAGAAAGAGATGAGATTTTTCAATATGTTAAAGTGTAAATGTTGTTAAAAACACAGTATTAGAAGATTAAGATTCTGACCCTTTACATTCCAATGATCGTAAAAATAAGACTTCCAGCCCATTAAAGAACAGCTTGCTGAGGCATTACACTGAATCACTCCACCACGAGGATGTTATAACCCTGTTCTAGCTTATTCAGAGGCATCTGCTTATGTGGCATCTACATCAAACTGTGAATGCAAATGTAAGTCTGAGGGCTTGGATGTGTTTTAATAAACCCTGCCAGGTTCCCCCTCCTCACCTCTGCGCTCCAGGAGGGGAAGCAGCTCCACAGCCACAGGACATCTGCTGCCTCCGTGACCAAGCAGTGATGCCCCATCGCAGCGCCTGTCCCAAACCTTCCCATCACAGGTTTTTTTTCTCTCTTTCTTCATTCATCTTAAATTAACCTTGCTGTGTATTGGCTCCAGGGAGCAGTCAAAATCTGGACAACTCAACACAGAAAGCCCCATTGATTAAAGTTAATTAGGCCTTACTTTTTAGAAGACCGTAAGACAAGTAGCTGCTCTGCTGTGCGCATGGAGCTGCGTTCCCTTATGCAGCCAGCGGATGCAGTGTGGGGACCTCTGGGTCACCTCGGGCACAGAGTCAGGAAAATGCTTATTTCCACCTAAATACGTAGATCCTCAGGCTGGGTTGTGCCTCCCTTCCTCCCTTCTGAGGGGTGGGAAGAAATACCCCAAAGACCTTCCCAGTGTCCAGGACCCACTGGTCCCACCTGGCCACAGACACCAGCTAGTCCCAGGAGCCAGGCTCTGGGCTCATCCCACACCAGGAGAGCTGGAGATGGGCAGTGGCTGCAGGCACGCAGCCTGTGAACCTTCCAGCGGTGGCAATTATTTAATCTAACGGGAAGGATCCAGGCACTGGAACTTTTCAGAGAGATTTAATGTTTTATGACAGACTAAAATTGGGTAATGAAAAAGCCTGATTTGGTGTGTGGGAAGTTACTTAGAAAGAAAATGTGTGCTGGTGCCTGGGGAGGCTGAAGCACATGAGGAACGGATCCCCTCTCCCAGCCACCTTCCTCCAATGGGACAGCACTTCCCATCCATCCCATCACCACTATCTCCAGGACACGGCCTTGGTCATGGCATTGCAGGGAACTGCAGGGATACCAGGAGGGCTCTCCAGCCCCTCTGAACCCCCAGGGCCCTCCTTAAGGACAACAGGGGCTCATCACAGAAACATGCAGATTCGGGCTTCTATTTGAGGGAGGTTTGAAATAGCAGTGAAGGTTATTGAAAACATAACGAAAGCTCCTCCTTATTTCATTAAATACAAATGTGAGTGGGGTCATCAGTTTTTATAGGGGCTCGTAAAGCATCCCTCTTGTTCAAATAGGCTATCAAATCACCCAAGGCTTCTCTCCGTGAGGAGTGCCATAAAACCAGAGTTTCTTCTTTAAGAAACTCATCTCAACATCATAATAAAATAACCTTAAATAATACAGTATAGAACAGGTTTTCAATAACATAATTATAGGCTTCCATTTTTTTCCTGGCAGGTCATTTCTTGGTATCTATTTTGGATGCCATATTGCAGAGGAAGGGGGTAGGGAGGAAAGCATGGGGGGATTCTGAAGCATGTCCTCAGGTCACAGGAGATCACCTTGCCTTTCCTTTGTGCGATGCAGGCCAGGCTGGCTGCTGCAGAGCTGTATCCATAGCCTCAGACAGTGGAAGTGAAGGTCAGCTCTTGTGTTTCCCGTGTTCCTGAGCACCAGAATTCCCATTGCACACCCTCCTCCAAGCAAGCTGGCTTGTGTAGCAGCGGTCAAGATCTGAGATGATCTTGAGCCTGTGGAGGATGAAGGAGGAACATCCACTGAGATGCAAACGTGGATGGGGCAGCAGGGGTTGGTATCATTCAAAGCCTTCACATTCATCTTCATCCTCACTTCTAGGCTATGCAAAAGCCAGGGTCTGCCCGGAGGACACAGCGTTCTGCTTCCTCCACCTGCGTATTTCGCAGACAGATTAAAACATTTAGTGGTGCATCTGCTTTCTGCTTGGGTTTTTGACGTAATTGGTGGCTGACCTGCCTCTGCCGTGGTGTGTCATTAGTCCCCCAGGAAATGGATTGCTGGGCAGAGAGTGGGTGGGCTGGCCAAAGGGCAATGCAAATGGTGTTTATGCTCCAGACCGGTCACGTAAAGGGATTTTAACCCCGTACTTATTTACCTAAGCTTATCTTCCCTCTATTTGGAGTAATGGTCTGATTTTTAATGGGTGGATGCCCATGGGGTGTTACTGATGCCACTTGGGAATTCTGGCTGCAGTTTTAGGGAAGGTGTACTGTTTCTTGCATGCTTACATTCGAAGATTTATTCACAGATAATAATTACTTGATGTTTGCCAAAGGCTCCGAGCCTGAGCTACTTCAGGGCAACATACACCAAGAAAAAACCAAAGCAGGGTGATGTAATTTGAAAGCCATCTCCTACATAAAAGTCACATGCCTGAGCATACTTACACACACTGCACACTCATGTAAAAAATCAATCCACGTACATCACCTGCGCGTGTTTGCAGATAATACAAAGTT